GCCGTCCGCCGACTCGATCTCCGCGAATCGGAACGGAGGAGGCTGTACTGCGCTGAGTCGGCGACTCGTGACAGACGGCGGATGAGGTGCTTCATGGTTACAGAGAGCTTTTAATCGGGAAACAAACCCTAAAGATCCAAACTTTCTATGGAAAAGAGAGGTTTTGCAGAGAGAGAGAGAGAGAGAGAGAGATATGGGGGTGAGGAGCTCTATGATTGATTGAGAAGAACATTCGGGGGAGAGGGATATATAAAGACGGGAGGGTAAAGGCGTAATTTCACACGAGATAGGTACGGTGAAGGAGTACTTGCCAGGTACAAGGAGTGAGAAATTTCGGATGAAATTAAAAATAGTTTTTCGTTTAATTTTAAATGAAAATGTAAAAAGTGGTTCGTTTGAAATGTGTGTATTGCAACTACTCATCTTGAAGGGTGTGAAGTTTCTCGTGTGGGTTATGACGTCATCAGCTCTTAGTATAATCACGGAAAGGGGAAAAAGAAAAATACAAATGGGATTGGCATACCAAAAATATATAATATAAGGTTTAAGCAATGGCATAGCTTCCATTTTTTTTATAGATCCGAAATTTATAATATATGAATTAATTCAATTAAAAAGAGTGTTATGAAATAATGAAAAAAATGGAGTATGATAATAAAGAACAAAATAAATGTATACTTATAGGATTATATATGACCAAGATGATAAACATCAACTAATCAATTATTCATATGACATTTGATTTTTTTTCTTCTCTACTTGCATTACACATATAAGTTCATCGTCACCAAACAAATTAAAATGACTAATACAATATTATGCTGAATATTAAAATTGATATCGATTATGATCGACTCATGGGCGGTCTGTCTTGGTATTTTACTATTTGACATACATTTTATCATTCTCAAACTTTTCACACATCTTCACCTATTAGAAAAACAATATATATATATATGCCATGTATATAATTATAATTCAAAAAAAAATATTGTAAATATAGAAAGATTATGGCCCATATATTGATTTTAAATATTGGGTGTAAAAGCTTATCACATAAATACATGTATATAAATAATGATGAGACGTGTGAATATCCCCACATAAGAAATTTATATTATGGTCACGATCGAGTCTATAGTGTTTGATAATTAAATGAAAGGAAAATGTTTAGATGAGGTTAATGATTAAAACGAATCACAAATCAATCGATAATCCAAATCGGATGACAAACAATATATGATATTCTAATCATTATTAAAGAGAAATAATGCACAGCTAATATGTATATATGTAGTTGGCTTTATATTATGCGTAACAAGCGAGAGAATATTCCCCAACCGCCTTGGAAAGATGGTTTGATGAGTCACCTCCAATCATTGACTCACACGTCAGCCTGGAGGCTAGCTGTAACGCGGTGCATCCACGCGCTCCCTCTATTTATTTTACTTTACGTAATTACTGTCGCAGTTTGATTTTTAAAAAAGAATTATTTTTACAATAATCTATCTTTCAGATTTTAAAATTAATTCATATTCCAAAAAATGAAGATTGAAAAGCAGGATTTAAAAAATACAAATATTAATCTAAATTCAATTGATTAAAACCAAAATATTACAAAATCTATTTTCTAATATGAAAATAAATTATAGATCCAAAATCAATTCAACGTGATCTTACAAAATAATGAGAGATAAATATGTCAATTTATAAACAAAATATAGGCGAGAAAGAAATTTGATACTCTCTCGATTTCAAAATATTTGTTATTTTAGATTGTTTCATATTTTTTAAGAAAATTGATCAAAATTCACAAATAAAAAATATATTAAAAATATAAAACTATAAATATTTTGAAATATAGAAAATAACCTAAAACCACAAATATTTTAAAACACAAGTAGAAAATAAAATAAATTTTATATAAGCAAATAGGGTCACATGAATTGGGTTGGAAAATTATGGGAATAAACATCCGTACGGTCCACTCGTACAGAATGACCAACCGACCCCACTTCTCTCTCTTACGTGTCGAACCGTACAGCCAAGCATGACTTTTTTTTTAAATATTTTTAGTTTTAAATATCTAAAAAACAAAAAAGGAAAAGAAGACGTAACTGACAGAGACACAAAGACCACGCGAACTTTGACGTGGAAATCAACGAAAATCAATCGCGGGCCCCACTCTCTCCTTCTCCAATTTTTTTTAGTTTTACACTTTTCTTTCTATGTTTTTAAAATTATCCAAGAAAAAGAAAAAAGAATATTTTAAAGCAACTGAAAAAAAAAATTATGTTCTTCCCGTTGTTGTCGGCGTCGTAATTTATATTTTTTTTCTGCGGATATTTATTTTCCTCTGAAAAATACTGGAAACTTTAACATGGAAAATGCGATTTTTAGCCTACAATTTCTATTTTCAAGTTTAACAGAGAAAATTCTTTTTTTTTTTTTTGTTAAAACATTTTTTATAATGTTCCTCCACTTATCTTCCATATATTGTTTCAGTTGTCCGTTCAAAGGTGTTGGGCTGATGTGAAACTGATGAATCATTGAAATCCATGCGCCAAAATGTTATTTCACAAGCAATGCTGCATTGATTTATTTATAATATCCTAAATTGATATTTACCAACGGTGTTCTAATACGTAACATCAAATATTCACAGAAAAAATATGCTTTTGTTTTTGTGTGGAATGATGTAGCTCGTTTTTCCATAAAAAAAGGCAAAAGGCGGTCCGATGACAACACATGCAACACATTTCTCAATGAAAATTAGATACGTAAAAAGAATATAAACCTTTTTCGTCGATTAAATGTCGTGCACACGGGTGATTTTGGTGGCATAAAATGATAAAGAAAAACATTCGATCATCCGTATAATTTTCAAAAAATAATAAATTTTCAATAATAAACACCGAGAAAAGTCCAAATATTTGAGCGAAATCTCATCGCCAAGGAAAATTAAATGAAATTGGAAACAAATAAGAAGGAGGTGGTGGTGGCCCACGTAAAAGTATCCAACCGTACATGCCATCCTACGGGCACACACCCCCTTCCCCACTTTTGCCCCCTTTGACCTACGTGTCCCGCAATATGTGGGTATATATATACATATATGTGTGTATATACATATATCCTACATTCAATTCGAGGATGTAGAAAAGTATTGATGTGGCATATTTTAAGTTTATATTTTTTTTGTCAAACTTTAAGTTTAAGTTTATATTTTTTAGATATTTTTTTTACGAGTTTATATATTTACGTATATATTTTTTTTTTGCAATTTAAATAGAAGCTTAAAGAGAGATACCATGGGAATAGGGGAATGTGTGGGGATGATGGGTCTTAGCTCGTAATGTCTATGTGGGGGCCATTGTCCCATTCCTCTTTTTGTAAATAAAAAAATCAAATATCATTATGGCATGGCATATGAAAAATAAAATAGTTTTATGATTAAATAAAAGCCAGATTTTGAGTAAGCCCTAAACCTTTACACCGATAGCATGACTAAGCTCTGTATCCTCTTTCCACTACCTCTAAAGTTGGCTCACATCATCTAATCACTTTCTTGTTTTCAAGTTCGGTCTTCTTTTCTCCTTTTTTTTAAAAAAAAAAAAGAAAAAAGAAAATCACCATTCCATTATTATAATAATATGCGATTCAATTTATCATCATATTAATTAACATAGATTAAACCCTAATCTAACAATTAATGTCTTGATACGTTTATACCCGTGATATAGTTATATACATACGAATATAGTAGCGACGAGAAATATAGGAGGGTCCCATTGATTTGTCAGCTGGAATCTAGGGTTCCCCCAGTTGCTCATAATCTGGAATCTAGTTCTCGGAAGAGAATATAATTTTTTTTGAAACAAAAAAATTATATGAAACACATGGAGAAGATACGAATGGGTTAAACCTCATATGCATGAAAGCAACAAGACAAACAACAGGCACAAAGACAAAACAAAAAAAAAAGTCTTTGCTGTTTGGAGACATAATATGTGACACAATTACATACATACATAATTTTGGTTTTTATAAATAGACATATTATTACCACAATTGGTGCTCCTTATCAGCATTTATTAGGCGGTTCATTTATTGGGCACATAATTATACAAATCTTAGATTCCGAAAGTGTTTATAAACACCTTCGTGCCTGGCTATAAATGAGAAATTATGTAAAATATGTATAATTATGTGCCCAATAATAAATGAAACCGAAATCTATTGGGCACATAAGTATACAATCTTAGATTCCGAAAGTGTTTATAAACACCTAATTGGCCCTAATTTCGGTTTCATTTATTGCAATAATTATAAACCGAAATTTGAAATTTAGATTTCAAATAAACCGAAATTTGAAATGGCTGCAAAATTATGTAAAATAAAAACGGGCTCGCTAATGGGCCCTAACTTTCATATCAGGTCTTAGTTTTTTTTTAAAAAAAAATTGTGAATAGGTTTTTGGAGATATTAATATTTATATTATGTTTTTAAGGGCCGAAAAAGGATAAAATTTGGCACGTGACATGTATAAAAGTGACAATGACATGTGGGATGGGCCGTGGGCCTGAAAATGGTTGGGTTTATTTAAAAAAACGGGTCGTGTGGGTCCGTCACCTGTTGGCGGGCTCTAGCCACGTCTGCCCTCTTAAAAGTTCGAATTTTTTGTCTGAAAAATTAATTCGAATTATTAATTATAAAAAAGACCATCGAAATAAATAAACGGATAGAATTAAAACTCGATCCATACTCACATGCCCTAATTTCTCCTTCCCACGTTATTATATTCATTTGAGAAAAGATTATTTGGCATAATTGCACAATCCCAGCTCTTACACGCTTCACTCGTGATTTTCGCTTCTCTCTCTCTCTCTCTCTCTCTCTCTCTCTCTCTCTCTCTCTCTCTCTCTTGAGGCCCAGATTTTGTCTGATCGTCGCCGGGGACATGGCATCGGCTTCGCCGGCGAGCAAGGTGGAGAAGGGTCACCAGCTGTACAGGGACGGGAGGTACAGCGAGGCTCTGGTGTTCTACACGGAGGCGCTCGCGGCGGCGAAGGCGAAGCCCCAGAAGATCGCTCTCCACAGCAACCGCGCTGCTTGTTATTTGAAATTGCACGATTTCAAACAGGTTCTTGATCTTTTTCTCTCTCTCTCGGCCTCGTTCTGTTTATTTCTGCTTCCGGATGATTTTAGTCTTCTTCTGGAAAAGGAGACAAGGAAATGAATTGAACGAAGAAGCTTTTGAAATTTCGGCGGAGATCTTTGTGTTAGATATCATCATAGATTTTCTACAGCAGCTTGATAGAGACTTTATAGGGACGGGTTTTATGGTTTTTATTTGTTACCTCAGTTGGATGTTGATGTTAAATCGTAGCTCATTCTATTTCTCTGTAAGCTTTAGGATTAGGGTTAAGGAATTCAAAGCTTTTCCTTTCCCTTTTTGCCTTTCCGTGAAAAGGGAACCAATAATTATGGTTTAGTTTTGATCGAAATCATGAATTTGGTGGTGTAATTGTTGGGCAAACGCTGATGGTCGGTGAGAATGTGTTAAGTTCTCTCTTTAAGCTCATAGGTAAAGTCTTGTTTTTTTCCCTTGCAAGATTGGGTTTAGTGCACAGAATACTGAGAATGGGAACAAGAAAGACGGATGTCAAGGAATTCAAAGCTTTGTGTTTTGCTTTTTCCTTGGCCATGAATATTGATAACTACAGTTGTGAATGTGGTTGAACAAAGCCAGATGGTATCTTGACCTTGCATGTTGTCGCCAAAACTACCATTGGTTGGGGTCTGCTGTGAATTAAATAAACCTCCTTTTTTTTCCTTACGTTGTTCATGGGGATTACTGCAGGCAGCCGTAGAATGCACATCAGTGCTTGAGCTCGATCAGAAGCACAGTGGAGCACTGATGCTCCGGGCACAGACATTAGTCACTCTGAAGGAATACCATTCTGCTCTTTTTGATGTTAACCGGCTTATAGAGTTGAATCCAGATTCAGAGGTCTATCTAAACCTCGAGGCAAGGCTGAGGACACAATTGGTATGGTCTCTGCCCTTCCACGTATTTGTCTTGTGCTCTCAAGACAGTGAGTAGTCCTAGTCCACTGTGATGTTGTTGCGCGTAAAAATAAAGAATTGTGTTTTGTTTTTCTTGGTCAAGGAAAGTCTCTTGCTCCAATCCCTGAATCTGAAGCAGAGTTGGAGGAAGATGATGAAGAAATTGGAACAGCAGTGAGTGAAAAGGAGAGAGACGAAGAAAAGGGCAGTGGAAAATATAAATCGGCGCTCTATCAAAGGAAAGATAAGACCTTTGATTCAATTGTTTCTTTTAAAAGAGATGAGAGGACTGGAGAAACACAGACGGAAGTAGCATCGCCAAAAACACCTGAGATCAGAGAATCCACCGAGCGAATAACAGCAGCTGTAACTGGAAAGGTTGTTCCTAAAGAGCAGAATGACAAGGGAACTGCCTCTCAAGAATCCAAGGGATGGCAAGCCATCCCGAAACCGAAAGGCCACTCGACTCTGGACTACGCGCGTTGGGACAGAGTTGAAGATGATTCCAGTGAAGACGATGATGATGACGATGAAGAAGAAGAAGAAGAGTGTAGGCCTCAGTACCGGTTTCGTTTGAGAACTGCTGGGGTGCGGCCCGTGAAGTGAAACTAGAATCTGTAGATATGGGTCTGGTCCTGGTTCTTCCTTTGGAATGCTGCATAGTTGCACAAAGAAGGTATGGGAGAAGCTATGGGAGATGTAAAAGCATATACACACTTGCACAGCATTGTTACACATTGATGGGAGACAAAGGTATTGAACAAAGGGAGAGGTCTGGTCGTTGTTTTCTCATCAGCAAATGGCATGAGAGGACATCATTTTCAAGAGGCGACTTGAGGGATGATGATGATGGGTCTTTAAGAAAGTTATATGTATGTATGCATGTATCGTTGTTGTACTGAATGTACGATGTTTTGGTGCAGATTCAAGTCTTTTGAAGTCTGAAAGACAATTATCTCATCTGTCATATGTTGATCTCCCTGTAGTTCTCTCTTGGGCATCTCACAGGAAATAAATCTCTAAAAAAATATTTTAAATTAGACTAAGATTTAAAATTGATGCTCTAAATTTCAGGACAAGTAAGTTGGAGAAAACAGGAAATTGTTAAATATTTTAGAAGAATATAAGAAAAAAGTGGGTTAAAAATCAAAAGATGACAAAACAGGAGATTAATTTCCCAAGTAGAACAAATGGAAGAACTAGAACTGGCATGTTGGTCCACATTCCCTCAACCAATGTCTTAGGTGCGGCGGCATAGGGATCTGTCTTTTGCCAAAACCACATTTTTTGTCTTCTCGAAAGTTCCTTCACTGTATCCATCATTGACCAACCGAAATCCAACGGCCAGGACCTTTTCACCTGTCGTGGCCCTACGCGGAGATGTCGGAGAGCGCCGTCGCCGGCGGAGGAGGTGGGCCCGACTTCAGCCTCCCCGACGAGATTCTCGCCGTCATACCCACCGACCCTTACGATCAACTCGATCTGGCCAGGAAGATCACTTCCATGGCCATCGCTTCGAGGGTTTCGAAGCTTGAGGCCGAAGTTTCTGGCCTCCGACAGAAGCTCGTCGAGAAGGATCGACTTGTCTATGAACTCGAAGGCAGAGTCGCCTACCTGGAGAAAGCTTTCCAGGAGGCTGATTCCGGTTTGAGGAACGTCCTCGATGAAAATGTACGAAACTTTCTCATCTATCATCGTCAATTTTCGTTTTAAAATTCCTGGGTACTTGAAAGATGGAGGCAAAGGTTGGATTTTTATTCGTACGATGAAGTCAGGGTTCGTAGAGGGAGTTGACTTTCGATCCTTTTGCTGAATTTGATCTTCAAATCTCTCAGAATTGGAGTGTATGGGACAATTCTTAGGTCAATTCCTTTGGAATGATTTATCAACAGTACCATGATCACATTGCGTGACCGATCTTGAGAACTTTAAGGATATAGTTTCAATGGTTTGGTCCGAAATCCTGATACATAGGGACTTACGGTTCGGTTTGCTTTAGCAATGGCAGGCGAGTTCATTGTGCGTAGACCTTTAACTTGTGTGGAAGATTGATTCTTTGAATCCCGATGATGTACGTACCATAACTGTTGATGTATATACCATACCATGGTTTGGATCTCATGATAGTATGATCTAGGGGCAGAAAATTGATTTGTAGTTGTTGATCCTTTGGCAATATGGTTGATCTTTAACAAGTTCTCAGAGAGTAAGAAGAGAAGGGTTTTCAAAATATTCTGCTTGCCTTTCATTACTGCTCAACCATTGCGAGATCTCATATCACACAATATTAAATAATTTTTTTATTTAATATTAAATAAAATATTATATAATAATATTTATTTTTTATTAAATAGAAAAACCTGAAACCTGGCCCGAATCCGTGTGAAACCCTATAGGATCGAGTTTCGGGTCACCGATATATGATCTAAAAATAAATGGGCGGACCAACCCGACCCGAAAAAATCTAAGCCTAAACTAAACCCAACCCGATTCTGACCCGTCTCGCATATTTTACACCCCTAAGAAAACCCCGGACAAAAAGAGATAAAAGGAAAAGTACTGGATGGAAGAAATAAAAAAAAAGCCTGGAATTTAAACCCAAAAAAAAAGCCAGGATCAAGGGAAGAAGAGAGAGATGGAGCAGAGGAAAGTTGAAGATGGAAATGAAGTTATTGTAATCTTCTTTGTGCCTCTATTCCTCGAATGGAACCAAGGAAGTGCCTGAAATTTGATGTAATCCCCCTTAAATCAGTGATAAGGAAAGATCCAGAGCGCGTGTGCCTTATAATAAGCAATCGTAGAGGTTCTCAGGCCGGCACCAATCGTAGATGCTTACACAATCTCTTTCTGTGCATGCAGGAGCTAAAGATCAAGAAACTCAACTCCGACAAAAGCTTCTCCAGTGATGGCTTTTATTCAGTCTAATTGGATTATAGCAATCGCCGTTTTTTCAATTCTTCAGATATGTTGAATGTCATATCATGGAGTTAACTCTGCATGTTTTTCTGGTACATGATTAAGTTTGGTTCCTTCAGTGACCAACGTTTATACCCAAAAACAGAAAAAAAAAATGACAACACCAGAGGCACTACAGACTCGTTTCACTCTCTCGCTCTTTAGTCATCTTCAGCTGTTGGCTCCACTTCTCCAAAGAAATCCCACCTCATAAACTGCGTAAGCCAACTTGGAGTTTCATTTTTAAATCAGAAACCGGGGTTTTGACTAGTGGATCAATGAGCGTCGGTTATGGAGAAACCCCAAACTGGAACGCCTGCCAGGTTGCAGGCTCAAAACGTCGGCGATAACCCTTTACCAGCAGGCAGCAGGTTTCGAGGAGTTGGTAGAAGAGGGGCAGCTGTCTTGTAACCCATGGGAAAGCCGTGAATATAGTAGCAACGGGCTACAGTATGGCCCATCATTCCACAATGAGTGCAAATGGGCTTGGGCTTATCATGGTTTGGGTTTGAAAGTTTAGGTCTGTTTGTGGGCTGAGTGTTTCTAGGGTTAGGATTAGAAGAAGGAAAATAAGGCTTAGGTCGAAAAGAGGGAGCAGATTTAGCTACCAAACGTGCTTTATGTTTGTCAATGGAACCATCAGCATGAAACTTGGTTCGAAAAACCCATTTGCTACCAATAGGTCTTTTCCCATGAGGTAAAGAACATATAGACCAAGTGTTGGATTGGATCAAAGCATCTAGTTCAAGTACCATGGCTTTCTTCCAGGAATCATATTTGACTGCTTGGGTAAAGGATTTAGGTTCTTGGGTGGTAGAAATGTTTAGGATGAAGGTTTTATATGCTGGTTCAAGTCTGTCATATGAAAGGAAATTGGAGATTGGATAGGGAGTGGTGTGAGTATAAGGGATTGGGTCTGAAGAGGAGTTTGCCAATAAAGAGCAATGGTAATCTTGCAGATAAGCTGGGCGAGTAGTCAATCGTTTTGGCCTGAGATTATTTTCTGAGGTACCATGTTGTTCCAGAAGAGGGGAAGATGGAGAAACTGAAGAAGGAGTTGACGAAGAAGGTGAAGAAGAAGAAGAAAAAGAGGGTATGGAATCTGGGGCAGATAGAGGAAATGGCTGTGAATCATCATAAAAAAGATAGGGTGATGGTTGAGAAGGAAATATATCCAAAGGAGGAGTAGAAATGTGAGATTGATGAAATGGAAAGATGTTTTCATGGAAAACAACATTCCTGGAGACTGAAATAGTTTGAGTTTCAAGATTGAGCACTTTGTAACCCTTGAAACCAGGAGGATAACCAAGAAAAACAGAAGGCACAGCTCTTGGGCTAAACTTATGTCGATCTTTGGCAAGAGTTGAAACATAGCATAGGCAGCCAAAAACTTTTAGGTGAGAATAATCGGGGACTTTGCTCAGAAGACGTTCAAAAGGAGTTTGGTTATCTAGGACTGCAGAAGGTGTTCTGTTAATGAGATAGACTGCAGTCAAAATGCAATCTCCCCAGTAACAGATTGGTACTTTAGATTGAAAAAATAGAGCTCGGGCAACATTTAGAAGGTGTTGATGTTTTCTTTCAACCACAGAATTTTGCTGTGGAGTGTATGGGCATGATTTGTAGTGGATGATGCCATTTTGGTCCAAGAAACTAGAAAAATTCAACTCAGGGGCATTATCACTACGAACAGACTTGAGTTGAGAGTTGAATTGAGTTTTGATCATTTGAACAAATAAGGGAAACTTAGAACAAACTTCAGACTTTGATTTGAGTAAATATATCCAGGTAGCCCTACTGCAGTCATCAACCAGGGTAAAAAAATAACGAAAACCCTCAACAGTGGGTTCATTAAAGGGACCCCAAACATCCATATGAACAAGTTCAAAAGGGACCTTAGATATATGATTAAAAAAAGGATAAGGTAATGCTTTCTGTTTTGCCAAAGGGCAAACAGTACAAGAGTTAGAAGCCGAAGTTTTGGAAAACAAAAGTGTAGAACTACTAGTAGCTTTAATCTTCAGGTTGGAAGGGTGACCCATGCGAAAATGCCAAAGATCAACGGAAGAAGCCACAAGAGCTGTGCATAAAGGGGAAGACAGAGGACAAGACACGGAAGATGGCTTCGGGAGTTCCAGTACATATAAGTTATGCATCTGTTTACCCTCGCCAATTGTCGAGCCCTGAATAAGGTCCTGAATGACATAAGATTTACCAGTGAATGAGACAGAAAGAGAAGTGTGTCTGGTGAGGGAGCTTATACTAAGCAGATTAAATTTGAACGAAGGAATGAACATGACAGAAGTAAGAATTATGTTTGAAAATAAAGGAACAGAACCAGACTCACTAACTGTGAGAGAGGTGCCATTTGGTAAGGAGATCGATATGGGAGGAACAACATGGATTTCAGAAAATAATGTCCGGTCACAACATATGTGACAACTCGCACCAGTATCTAGGATCCAAATGACTGGGGAAAAAGTAAGGTCATGTGAAAAGGTGGAAAGAAGGGTGTGAGATGAAGTACCTGGGGAAAGAGGAGGGGAGGGACAAGCAGTCAGACCTGATTCCGGACGTGAAGAACCATGATGCTTCAACTGAGAAGCGTATTGAGCCAATAACTCCTGGGCTTGCTCCAAGGGATTCCGCGTATCAAAAGTATCAGCAGAAGGACCAGAACGATTCGAATGAGTGGAGACAGCAGATCCCACCATGTTGATCTGTTTCTGATGCTTATCAGGGTTAGGGTTTCGGGTGGGGGAAAAGGATTTATTCGGGAAGTTTCGAGGAGTTGGTAGAAGAGGGGCAGCTGTCTTGTAACCCATGGGAAAGCCGTGAATATAGTAGCAACGGGCTACAGTATGGCCCATCATTCCACAATGAGTGCAAATGGGCTTGGGCTTATCATGGTTTGGGTTTGAAAGTTTAGGTCTGTTTGTGGGCTGAGTGTTTCTAGGGTTAGGATTAGAAGAAGGAAAATAAGGCTTAGGTCGAAAAGAGGGAGCAGAAATCTGGAAGGCAGCTTGTTCCGACGAAGAACCGAAGGACAGACGCTGCTGCTCTTCCTGAGAAATAAGATTATAGGCTTTGGTGAGGTTCGGTAAGGGTTCTTGCATCAGAATCTGCCGACGAACGGCGCTGTAGGAGTCGTTGAGGCGCATCAGAAATTTCACAACATTGTTCTTCTCAAACAGAAGACTCCATTGTTCAGGTAGTTTGCAAGAGCATCCTCCACAAGTGCAACCACCACAGGTGCAACCACCGCATGTACACATCGGAAACGGCTCGAAGTTGCGTAGTTCCTCCCATAGCGAGGTAAGTTTCGTATAATAGCTGTTGAGATCTAGTGATCCTTGGTGTAAAGTATCCAACTGATGTTGAATATTGTACACCTTGGACACATTCCCTTGCTTGAATCTGTTCTCAAGGCTACGCCAGACCAGGTGTGCATCATCAAGATAAACAATCAAGCTCGCGATTTCAGAACTTACAGCATTGGTTAGCCAGGTGCAAACCATGTCGTTCGTGCGAGACCAGAGGTTGGCGTCAGGGTGATCCGCCGGAGGTTGTGAAACAGAGCCAAGAACAAAACCCATTTTGTTTTTGGCGTTTAAAGCCTTGAGGATCGCTCGAGACCAAACACTATAGTTTGATTCGCCTACCAACTTTTCAGGAACGAGTTGGAGGTTCGAAGAATCAGCCGCATGAAGGTATAAAGGACTAGAATATGGATCTGAAAGGGAATAAAGCATGGGTGGAATAACCTGAGGTGCAGGAGGAATGGGTGGAACAGGAGGATCATGGGGATCTGAAGAAACAGAGGCGTTTGAAGCAGGGGAATCAGTCATGGATGGGGCGAAGAAGAAGCAAAAAAAAAAAAGAAGAACAGCGGAGCTAAAGAGATAGCTCTGATACCATAACAAGTTCTCAGAGAGTAAGAAGAGAAGGGTTTTCAAAATATTCTGCTTGCCTTTCATTACTGCTCAACCATTGTATATATACACTTTGTAAATGAATAAAAATAAATGGAAAACTAAATACAATTGCAACAACCCTATACACCTATCTGTCAGCTATAGAACACGCAAGGAAAAAGGTAAATATCAACCTCCATTGCTGTAATAATATTCTGCAAAAAGCAAAACAGAATAACCTCCATTGCATACTTGATAATCTTTGAATATGGGGGGGGGGGTCTGTTTGCAGGTGAAACTCACCCAGGAGCGGGACTCATTGGCCATGACCGCAAAGAAACTCGGTCGTGATTTTGCAAAGGTGATAACTTTGCTCGGTCCTTTCGTTTTCTTCTCGGGTTTGAAATTTAGTCACGTTTCCGATCAATTCTATGCAAAGCTCCAACATTTCCTTGTGTTTTTTTTTTTTCTTTTTTGAAGTTGGAAGCATTCAAGAAACAACTGATGCAATCACTGAACGACGGCAATCCATCTGTAAGTCTCTGTATGGATGTGTATCTTTCAAGACCATATTTTGATGGGTTTTTCACTCTGTTCTCTTACAGCAAACAGTCTCCACTGATGTCGGAACTGTCCCTCGAGTCTATCCCGACAGAGGTTACTACATACATTCTCGTTCTTTTGCTGTCTCTATCCTCGGAAACCGCTCTAGTTTATTTACAAGTTATACACATTTGTAGACGAGACATCGAATGGCTACTCGGCAAACTTTTCCTACTCTGGTTCGATAGACACAGGAAACTCAAAAGACGGAGGTATGTATAGAGAAAGAGAGAGAGATTCCTTCAATCCCTAGTGAGATTTTCATGCATCTTCTGATGTAAAAGTAACTCATGGACAGCAGGTCTAAGTAAAGCCGGGCAGAGGCTGTCTTCGACTCCGACAGGAACACCGAGAATATTGTCGGGAAGTGCATCTCCAAAGATAATGTCTGGCGCCGCTTCTCCCATAACGTCGCATTACGATGTACGTGTCTCTCTCCCCTCGTGGTGTTCCAGCCAGCAGTCTTCAGGAGCAAACTCTCCTCTTTCTCTTCCACCTTCAGGTTTGTTCAACATATGACTGGTTTATGATGAGTTCTCTTGATTAGCTATCGATGCCACTCTTCATATATATATATATATAT